TGTTTTTCTCGATAGCTCCAGGAGCTCCTTAGGATTGCCGAGTAGGAACCTTAATAACCATCATTTAGAACATATAAGAACTTTAATTTATAGACTGAAATAAGAACATTTTTGCACTGAGGAAACAACACTCCGTTTCCTGATGTGTGCTAGATTCAGAATAAAACAATAAAAAGCTCCAGCGTGTTGCAGAAGGAGAAAAAACCCACACAAAGCCCTTTTCATTTCCACTCCTTCCTCAGTCTGCTCAGCATTTTCAGTTTGGGTGCTTACTCCAGTTGAATATTGCCAAGGGCTAGCTGTCAACACGTCGTCTTTGATTTGAGTATTTCTGACCTTAAGGCTTTCTCCACTGTGCTGTTTGTTTCTGTGGCTGTGCCCATAGTGCACTGCCCTACCTGCTCGGTTTTGCTGACATAGCTATTCTTGGAGCTGTACTGTGACCTGTATGAGGGAAGCCATCCTGCAGGATGCAGTGCAGGAAAACGAAGATAATGCCAACTCAGTTTCCTGGTCCAGCTCTCAGTCATGGCATGGGCAGAGGAAGGAGCAGAAGCTGGGCAAGACTATTCAAAACCTGCCTTCCCGCTAATGGTTGTGTTTTGTCAAGTGAGGCCTATTGCATTTGCTTTGAATGCGAACTGTGAGGCTGTCCATGGGTCTGAGCTGCTGTTGAGGGACTGTGTGGAAGAATCTTTAGTTAGCAGAACATGTCAGAGTTGGGTTTTATAGCTACTTGTAAGTACCTAAACTCAGAGGTTTTGGTTAGTGCCTGTATTTTGTACAGAGGTTTACAGCTTCTTGGTAACACTCCTTAGAATGTGAGCAAATGCAACAAATGCCTCCAGACTGGGTGGTCCTAAATTCAGCTCCATTAGGGCACAAGTTAGTAGAAACTTTAGTGCAAAAGGCTTAAATTGAACCATCTTCCTAACCCCAGTTGCACCCACTACATTGTGGGATGTATTTTCTAAGACTGCTTAAATAAATGCTTAGAGTCATGGTTTTCAGGCACAGCTGGAGTACAGATGATTTTTTTTTTTAAGGTTGCTCTTGGGGTTTTGGTTTTGTTTTGCTTTTTGTTTAGCTTGGAATGTATGTACACACATGCTATGCTTTAAGGTCTGTTTTCCAAACTGTGTTCTATGTTTTGTGTTGTTTAAGCTGGACTTTATCTCCTTATTAGCAAGTTACAGCCAAAGTGTGGTGGCTGACAATAGGAGGTTGATCTAAACATTAACAAATTAACTGGGCAGGATATGTGCTGGGCAAGGGCAGCAGCAGGAACCTTTGCTCAACTATGGCACATGGCCCCACGTCTCAGCTTGCGTGGTTCTGAGCATAACCCGTGAGCTGTGAAGCAGTTGCTTGCTGATGTCCCTACAGAGGAGCGGGTGAAAGAAATCGCAAGCAAAGGGTATCTGGTAAAAGCTTTGAGGAACACTCACATGCGTAATACTTGCGCAAAGAACAGAAGAAAACTGAGGAGCTTGGAAAGCAAGTACAACACTTTGCAAGCCCTTTGAAGGAGCTCAGTGAACTGGGTGCAACTTCCTTCGCCTCCTGCAGAAGGGTGAAGAGCTGAGTCAGCTTTGCTGAGATCTGAACTGTGATCCCCCACATTTTAAGCAGTTACTTGGCTGTAAACCTGATTCTATACAGAAAACTATCTGCAGAAATACGGTTCCCATCAGATGGCACTGTCCTCTTGGTGCATACAAGACAGTATGTCAGTCCAGTCAATGTTTCTGGGCTTTATACCACTTCAGTGTGTGCACTAGAAACTTTCTGGGACTATTGTTTCCTTTCTGTCACATCTTCTTTTCAAACTAATTCTGTTTAACTCTGGAAACCGTGCTCCTTCTACAACCATCTTGCCTTGAAAGCACACCATAGAACAAACAGAATTGCTAAATTCTCCCAGAATGAGCACTGCTCATACTCATATGGCAGCTCAGCATCTACCACGTACTGTCTGATCTCAGTTCCAAGAAGGGAGGCGGGGGAAACCCCAAAACAACCCCCTGGAACTTTTAACTAATTCCCTCAGATGAGACCATGAGAGAGGAAGTTTTTTTGTTTACCGAACACCGAGTGGGATAGCTGTGGAAAGGACTGTATGGAAGAATTTCCACTTGGGTGGAGATGGAATACCCAAAGGTTGGCCTCTCCCTCCTGCCCATCTCTGTTGATAGGGATGAGAGCCACATCACTGTTCTTTGCCTACACTAAATCCTACAGGAATGCCAATGAGGTACGTGCAGAAGAATAAAATCTCCCTGTTCCAGCTTCCCTGATAGAAGTTGGAAGTGGTTTATGCTGCTGTAGAAGTTGGGATTTTTTAAAGGAAGTTTTGAATGTAACAGATGAGGTGGAGTGAATGGAAAGAAGGATTTCTGCAAAATACCGGTATACGTTAAGGCATTTCTGTTGCTTGCGTAAAGCCTAGAAAGAAGCATGAATCATAGTAATCCATTTAGGATATAGATACACACAGCCTATTACCATTTTGAAGGTTTTGGTTGTGCTGCCCTCTTATTGTACATATTAACTACTTGTCTTTTTGATTCATTAGATCAGCTAATACATTAGTTATCTGCCCAGAAATTACTCACTTTTTCTCTCAGGAAGGCTCCACTGAGTCCTTTGGAGACTTGACTCCCTTTATCTCCTTTCAGGTCCCACGTTACTCGTCCCACCTTTCTGAGTGCCTTATGTCATGGTAACAGTCCCTTCTGCTGAGGCGGGTTGGACTCTGCTCCCTGTGGAGCTATCAGAAGAGCTGGCTGCAACTTTCTCCTTCAGTCCTGGTGGTGAGGAATGTTATCTGTAGAGCTGCCAGCTCCAGCAGGTCTGGCTTATTGGTCAGATGGTGTTGAATTGTAAAGCAAGGTCCTGTACACGTGTGAATGTATTTCCAGCTTGAGAAAAAATCCCAGACTCGGTCTATTCCAGAGAGGCAAATATTTCATGTCCTACATCAAAGAACTGTGGTGTTGCTGGCCCCACTGTTATGACTTAAGTTCCCTCAAAATCTAGGGATTAATTTAAAAAATAAGATTTTTTTTTTTTTTTTTTAATCCAGCTGTACATTTTTGTCACTGTTTTGTTTTCTAAACCCCCTCTGGGAGTGTGTGTGTGTTTGTGTTAGCACTGTGCTGTCTCCCAAAGAAATGGTGAGGTTTTTAATAAGAAATTCCCATATCTACATCTGTCTCTGAGTCCACTTCCTATCAGTTTCATTCCCATTTCCTAATTCAGCTGTACCCCCATTTACCTTCTATTCTCCAGGCCTGCAAATGCAGTTCTACCAGGATTCTCAATTTCCTGAGTCTGACAAGAGATGTGCACAGGACCTCATGCCTTTACCATTTTCTTAGGCTGAGTGCCTAGAACAATTGGTTTGGGTAAAGTTCTTCATTAAAAATTGGGGTTTCTTTTAAAAGTGTTGTAAAATGTCAACCCCAAATGACCTACTAGGGAGCTAACATTGCAAAACAAGGCTGATATTTATGCCTTAGTTTTGTGGTGCTGGTAGGTGTAACAATTGCTATCTTAAAGCTGTCATAGGTACAGATTCACCAAATCCTTTCAGTGTGTGATTTAAACATGCATAATTTTAGGCAAATGTTTTAGTATTTTACTGCCTTAGCAAATAGGATAAGATGAATAATTCATGAGCTACAAAGACCAGCAAAGAGACTCCCATTGATACTGAATGGATGTTGAATCAAGTGTTTGCTGTATCTGGGGAAGTTTGCTGCTTAGTCTGGTGTAATACATAGCAGTATTACTATGTTACAGATGAATGGAGTATGGGTGTTTTTTCTAAAATATGTGGTTTTGTCAGTTTTAAAGTCAGTCACATTTCTTTTCTTCATACGAATAATTAGATTGCTTTTGGCTGACTTACCTAACTGAGGAGGGTGATAACACTGTAGACCCTTTCTTTTTGCGTACCCAGGAGTATCACCTGGAAAATGTGAGAATGCACTGGCTATACTTTACAAGACAGGAAATAAAGCCTTGAAAATGGCTCTACAAAAGAAGTAAGTTCAATTTTATTATTTGGTATCAAGTGATTGTTAAGGATCATACTCTTGCTACATTTGTATGTCTCCACTGTAAATACGTGACCAATACTAACAATTCAACCTGGGACTTCAGTATTAAGTTTGGTATAAGATGCTTTCTTCATTATAATTATTTTTTTTATGTTATTGTCAGTCTAATTTGCCAGTGACCATTTCTGTTTAACAGTATATTTTTATGTTACTTTTAGAAATTATTTAGCATATAGTCTTGACAGTGGCTTTACAGAGTCTCATGATACCTTTTCCTAAGAAATTTTGTTTCTTAAATGATATTTTCCAGTTTATATTTTTCCAGCTACCTAAACCTGCATAGCAGCAGTTTTCATTCTCACAGCTTGTCCTCTCCCCTTCCAGTTGCCATGCATTGGACCAAGTGCAACACAAGTGGAGGTTTTGCCACAAGCAAATGTGGTGCGTTTTCCAAATGTGTTTGTGGGTTTTGGTGATGAAAATACTATCTCGATACTAGCCCATCTGGAATGTTGGACAACATGAATAAGTTCTTAGAAGAGCCCTTCTAGCAAAGGGAGACAGGAACACAGTTCAAATTGGAAAATGGAGAATGAAACCCTGAATTTTGTTGACAGAGCTTTCTTTGGAAATCTGTGGCCCCCCCTCTGATCTTGGCTATCTTTCTCAACAGTCTAGTGGTTTAATGCAAGACCTGTGTTCTTACAGAAATATGTATGTGAGCAGATAAATGTGTAAATGCACTGTAACTTTACAGCTTCCCTAATATGGACAACAAATGTCAGTGCAGCCCTTTGGAGTTCTTTTGACTGTGTTTTAGATAACTTTGTTTTGCTTCTCACAGAGACCTAATCTTGGAAGGCTAGGACAACTGTGCAGAACAGCTGGAATTAGTTGAATACTGGAACCACTGCTGATTCAGTTGCATCCTCCAACATGACTAATCCTCAGTAAGTACCATGTGAGGATAGTTTATTTTAAATAGAAGGGAACAGGTTGCTACCTGTAGGAGAATGATCTTGTGACATCACGAGGGTTCTATCAGTATTACTGGAAGGATAAGTTGATATTTTGAGGAGGAGGAGCAGGATACGGTCAGTTGTTTAAAGAGTGTGAATTGGCAAAAAACCCATGAATGCTGGAAGCATGTCTGATGTGTTACTAACAGCCAGTGGCTGGAAACTGGTATGTCATGCTATTGTCAGATCTGCCTTTTTTCTTTACTGCCACCAAACCTGTCCCAAAGCTGTTTGCAACTCTAGTGTGTTGGTTTGGTTTGCTTTTCTTTTCAGTCAAATTGGACACTGTCTGTCATGTAGTCTGCCTAAGGATGCAGAAGGTGAATACTATTGAGAGAGGGAAGGCTGCATCAACCCATTTCCTTTTTCCTTTATAACACTGGAAACTGGATCACTGTATGCTCTTCTGTGAAAAACTGAACCCACTTGGACTTTTAAGGGTAAATGTCCCCTTTGGCACTAAAGGTGAAAATCAAAGAAAGAAAGTTCTTGCTAAAATTAGCTCCTCCCTCTGGGTTTCTGATTCAGGTTGTTGACAGAGGAATACTCTTCTGTTGGAAATGAATCTATTTGCTTTCCATTATTAGTTGGACAAAGAATAACATAAAGGAAGCCTTTAGGTTATTTAAGTAGTACTTCCTTTTATCTCTACTTTCTGCCGTACTGTGACCCAGTTGCAGCCTTTCCCTGCCAAATATAACAGCATTTTCTGATTTTTAAAATTACTTTCTTGTGTAACACTGGTAGCCAATAGCCCCTTTGAATTTAGGGATAATGTTTTCTGTGGTTAGTCTAATGTTGTGGCTCTGATCAACAGAATCTTTCTCTGGCTCTTTCACATAGAATTTTAGTTCCTTCACCCGCATCCTTAGACTAACAAGTTATATGAGTTAAGGAATCCTCTATTTATTATTTTTTTTTTTTTCTGGAATAAAATCCCAAAATAGCTGTTAATCTGGTTTCTTGAATAGTTGGAAGATTTTAATAAGCTTCTCTAAAACAAAACCATCAGTACAACTTTTGTAGTCAGATAACAAAGGGAAGTTAAAGTGCCAAGCACTTTTTCAATATAGCCTTAAGGAAAAAGAATATCTTCACTCCTGCTGTTGAAAACCTGAGACAAGTAGCCTGAGATTTCTTTAGAAGTTTGCAAGCTCTCCTCGATGAAAGTTTGTGCTTGCACCTACTCTGAATCAAATGGAGTGAGCAGCTTGACATGCAAGCTGTCTCCTAAAACAAAGCCATCCTTTGTGTGCACTAGATAATAAGCTGCCATCCGTCAAAACTATTTGAATATTGACCTGCAGTGGAAGAGGGGTCAAACTGCATCCACTAATGAACAGTTGCTTTGTATAAAAGGATTAATAAGCTGAGCTATTCATTGCTCACTGATGTAACTCTCAGAGCAGTAAGGTTTTAGTTGGCACAGTTACATGCCTTCCTTCTGTTTTGCACAAATATTTTATTTGGGTTCATGAAGACAGGTGTGGAGAGATTTGGTCTGTCCTCTCAATGAGGACACCTTCCCCAATGCCCTGGCAAAGACCTTTTAAGTTGCTGGCTTTTTGGGATTCTGTGAGTTCTTGTTCTAAGTTATTTCTGTTTGCTTGTTTATTTACATTCATTTATATATGTATCTGTGTGGAGAGAGAGAGAGGGTGTTTTATTTTGCTTATTGCATTTTCAGGTCTACAGTAGAAGGTGGTGTTTCAGAAGTTGAAATAATTTCACAACAAGTGGAAGAAGAGACCAAAAGCATTGCTCCTGTACAGCTTGTTAATTTTGCTTATCGAGATCTACCTTTAGCTGCCCTTGATCTGTCTGTGGCTGGGTCCCAGCTTTTGTCAAATTTGGATGAGGAGTACCAGAGAGAAGGGTGAGTACAAAGGACACAATTTTGTTTTACAGTTTTAGGTTATATGAATTTCATGGCTTGTACAAAAGAAAACCTTGAGCTGGGGACGTGCAGCCAGTTGTCCTCAAACTCTTTTTAAAAGCTTTGTCACAGGATGGAAGTGAACTTTTCTAATATTACTAATCTGTGCTGGTTTGGGGCTCTTTATACTTCTAAGTGATCCATAGCTGCTATTTGACCACAGTCTGGAAGTCTTCTCTAAGGGAAGACTAGACCAGGCATCTACCCATCAGACAGGCAGAATGGCCTGGTGAACGCTCTTTGTGAAAAGGGTTTCCAGGGGGTTTTTCAGGGTGACAGAGTTGGTTACTGTGATTCTTGTACATAGCTGTGCATCTCCTGACCAAGAGATAATGACTTGGGGCTGCTGATTCCTGGACAGATTGTGTACTTTTCACAGAGTAATTTGAATAGCTTGGTTGTGTGCTTGTGTGAGAGCGTTGTCTTTGATAATGTGTATGCAAACTACTCCTGTTTTCACAGAACAACTGTTCCAGTTTTATTGGAATTAAATATCTTAATCACTTTGTCCAAACATAACCCAGTGTCAGATTATGTAGTGCTATTGTCCTGCAGGTCATTAGAAGTCGTCCTTATGCCTGGTTCAGGCTTGAAGTGGCTGTAGGTGGACTGCTATACTAAATTTTTTTGTGAAAGATTTGGCTCAAGTGGAGCGAATGCAGAGGGAGACAGTGAGAATGATTAAAGGTGCAGAAAACCTCCACTGTCGTGGAGTACTGTTGGAAGTAACTGTATTTAACATGAAGAAGAGATTTCAGTGAGGAAAAGAACAGTCTGTTACGGATCTCCATGATGTAAACATGATGTAAAAGAAGTAAGAAACTTGAACTTCAGCAAAGACGAGAATAATGAGGGTAGTGAAGTGCTGGGATAGACTACTGGTCTAAGCAAACTGGTATTGGGAGGAGTCAAATAGAGTTGCAGCTGCTAGATGTTGTGAAGATGTGTTTGTCAGGAATGATAACACTGTAGTTTAACATCCCTTGGGATAGAGATGAGGTGAGAACTTGTGCCTAGCCCCTCTGATTCTGTGATTACTGTGCCACTGTGTGTCACACTGAAAAAATAAATATATATATATATATTCTACTGTCAATAAGATCCATCTAAAAGCGTTTCACAGTAAGTCATAGAGAGCTCCATTGGTGAAGACATTAGGCTTTATGTAAGCCTCCGTTTATTAACAGCTTAATGTGTTTTAACCTAGGCTCAGAAATCAGCAGAGAGACCTGCTTGATCTCTGCTCAGCAGGTATTCTGTATGGTAGTCAGGAAGCAGTATGTGGGGAAGGCTCTTGCCTTTAATTTGTTTCCAAATTGGACTTTATGAGACATCTCCAGAAAGCTGTTCCTCCAAACAAGGGGAAATACATTTCAAGTAGGTTATATAAGTGTGGTACAACTGTAACATAAAATACCCTGCATAGCAAAGAGGCACTTGAAAATTAATTTGAGTATGCAGGTGTAACCCTCAGTCTATTTCGGTACTGAGTAAATACCAGTTTAGTTCAGATATGCATTTTTGTAGATTTTTATGATCTGAAACTCAATTCATCACTGTGCCAAAGTGCACAGATCTCCCATTGTAACCATTTGAGCAGCTTTGCAGTCTTAAGCAGGAAAATAGACATGTCATTCTTTTCCTCAGCAGAGATTTCTTCCTTCACACAGACTTCTTCTGTGGCTTTATCACTCTGAACGGAAATAAGCAGGTGCCATTCAGACATCCCAGCTGTAGAGTGGATTCTCTGAAGAAAATTCAGAGCTTTAGTTTGTATGTCTCAATGCATTTTGGCTGAGTGTGTTCAGCTCAGTCCCAGGATTAAATCTGCCTTGTGGGAATGGCAGCTGCTGCTTTTCAGAAGCATGGAGCACAACTGATGCCTTGTGAAATTCAGGAGCAGAGCTCAGCTCAAGAAGCCTAGCAGCAAAAGTAAAATATTGCCTCCGTAGGTGTCTCCGTCCCACCTCATGGCTCTGTTGGGTATATGTCTGATTTTATGAATGCGGCGTGATTACTTCCTCATGGCTTTGTTAGGTATTAGATCTTAGCCTTGTTGGATGGCTTCCACCAGAGTAACAAGGAGGTAGGGTGTGTCAGATCAGTTTGGTACAGGAACTGACAGCTACATCTCCCTCGTGTAAAGAGTGTGGTGTGGGAAAGGCAGCACAGGAGGGGGCAGAAAATATTTAAGTCCCTGTAGTTTCTGACAGCATCCGTGTTCATAACTGTGAAGCCTTGTTACCCCGAAGCTGCCATAGAGGTTGTCAGTGGAGGTGTCAGAAGAAGCTGCTAATGCCAGAGAGTACTAAAAGGTGATGTAGGACTCCTCTTCCCATCCCTGGCAGTCTTTGTCGCAGACTCCAAGTGTAACCTCCTGTAGGCTTTTCCCTGATCTTATAGATTGATAGCTGATCTATGCAAGATCTATAGCTGACCTATGCAAGTTGTAGTTGGTGTAACTCTAAGGCTCTGCAGCAGGAAGGTCTGGTGCCTCCCTGTGCTTGGAAAATGCTGGGTGGTTGTGACAAGCTGCATCTGACCATGATCTTTTGGTTTTCAACATACTAGTATGCAGTCCGTAGTTACTGATATAGGTTGTAGCATTTCATCACTAGTCAGTCTTCATCTCCTTGCACAGAGCAGTAAGAGAGACATCAGACTAGAGATGAGTAAGTGGGCAATAAAAGATTGCTGCATCTGGCTTGCTTCTTCCCTGCAGTGAGGCTGATGTGCCTGGTATTAACTGAGCTGTGAGTCTTTCTCGTCAGAAAAAGAAATTTTCTGATAAATGCCACTAATATGTAACTAAACCATTTTGTTTTATGTGACTATAGCGATCTCTATTCATAAAGATACAGCTCTTCCACTCTGTGTAGCACTGTGAAGAAATAGTAGTTCGGTTCTCAGAACCAGGGTGAGGATGATGTTCATTACTTATTAGTCCTGCTAATCTGCTCTACAGTTAACTTCTTAGAATCCTCCTGCTGTGCACTGCACTCCAAGCTTAGACATTACAGAAATAATTGAGGCATACGCTGGAGGCATGTAGATGAAAAATGAACTAATTCAAAAAACGTGCCTTGGATGCCAAGGAGAACACATGGTGTACGCTTCTGACATCTCTGTAATGGAGCAGGTGAGACTTGTGTGCAAAAAGCAGCAGGACAGTTGCTGATTTTCTTCATGTCTGTGAATTTACTGGAGAGGCTGTATCTGCATTGAACTTGGCATGCATGAAAAGATGTAAACATTTCTTCAAGGAGACTAATCACCCAGAAAGCTAAGGAGGTTTTTAAATGTTAACATTAACTGTAAGTGTCACTCATAATTTCTTTTTTCCAGTCAAGTGTTCTGTTTTCTGAAAAAAAAAAAAAAAATAGTTTCTCTCTTTTGTTTTTGCATCAATGACCAATAAAAATTATGGGGAATAATTGGAAAACTGACAACATGCAGAAAGTGGTACCCATGTCCTAACGACAAGCAGGGATAGGGAAAAGCTCTCCTTCCTGTACTTTCCTTAAATTCCAGTGAGGAGGAATCATTCACAATAGATATCAATCACAATAGAAGAATTTACAGACAGTGAGCCTGTCTCTCCAAGACCTGTTGGTTGGGAAGCAAGGGGAGAGATATACACCAACTTGAAATTATTTCTTGTATTTGTTTCAGATTGCAGTCCTTGAACTTTTTTATGTTAAACAAACTTGAAACATGAAGGTCCTTTCAAATACTGTTTTACATCAACAGCTGTAAAGGCTGGGGGTTCATACAGTTAATGTGTCTCACTTGCCATTAGCTGTATATAGTTGTGTCAATGTAATTTGATAATTGATGATCATCTGTTCGTCACCTTAGATTTGTTTGGTTGCAGCTAGAAAGTGCATTAAACAGGAGGAGTATCTAAAAGAAGGGATATATATATATGGAGAGAGATTAAAAGGAAGGGAAACCAAAATGAACAGAGAACAGAGATTCAGAAATGAACACAGGGAAGAGTTTTGAGGTTTTAATTTTAAATTGGTTGCAGACCTTCACAGATGAATGTGTTCACCCATCCTGGGAGAAAACGATGTCTGCTCCTTCGGTCTGTCTTCTGGAACTGCACCAAATAGATGCCGTTATATCTGGTTTTCATATTAATCTTTCAGTTCTCATTTTGATCTCTTGGAGGTATTTTACTAATGTTGTCTACAAAGCTCAAGGTGCTTTAACTAAAAGAACTCAAATGGACCAAGTTCTCACATTTCTCTTCTGCTTTTTTTTGTCTCTCTCTGGCAGCATAATTAAACAGTCCCTTTTCTGAAAAATTCTGTGAGTGCATGATGCTGATACACGGTGAATAATGAGGTCCAAGCTCAAGATAAAGTGCAAAGTTTTTGGAGGGCAGAACTATTTCATGTAGTGAGCAAGCTCCTTGTATTTACAGAAGTGACTTTTAATTTATTTTTAGCTGAATCCAGAAAGATGGTGGAAAATCTTAACAGCAAAATCCAGTGAATGAGACTAAAGTGCTGATTTGTTCTTTGTGCAGTACTACATCACTGCTATTTTCTGTGCTATGGTCCAAAGCTAAGACCTGCACTGCAGCAGAAAATGAGCATTCAGCATGACAGAACCTGTGAGGTGACTATCTCTTCACTAGAGAGAGAATACATGACATTTTGGGCTATGTTACAGGGATGTGCAGTGATTTAGAAACTTCCTTTTCTGTACAGAGCATTTTAAGTGCTTATCTTTGTAAATGTTGTTTTCCAGAATAGTTCATTACTGTGTTTATCCTAGTACCTACAGCCTTTGAGTGTGTCCCTCTAATGTCTTTTATCAGTAACAGCAATTGGTAGAGGGAGCACTACTATAAGTAAAAAAAAAAAAGAATTCATTTTCTAGCTCAGTGATTTTCAGGCTTTTTGGTTTGTAGATGTTTCTGTATTTTTCCA